CGCGACGCGCTGACAGTGGCCGCTTCTTTCGCTCTCTTCTAAAAGCAGCTTAGGTCTGAAAGCCCCTTGACACGAATTCGCGCGCGACCCTTAATTTCTCTCGCCTTTTTGCCGCGGAGGCGGAAAGAAGCGGAGCGAGGGCGGCTTCTAGGACGAGCATTTTTCTCGTTAAAAATCTGAGGCAGATTCGCCGGGGCTGCTTAAATATTCATGCTAAGCACGCGCGCGAGCGGCCCGCCTTAAATTTTCATTTTGATGGGGATTTTCTAGCCCAAAGCACCCGCGACGAAAGCGTGCGTCTGCACGTGCCACCGCGTGGCTCTTCAGTTACATGCCTGCAGGCCGGTTCTTTTTCTCGCGCGGCGGCCGCTCACTCGAGCAATAGGTATTAAGTCAAATTGGCACTATGAATAATCATTTTGCCTCTCGTATACGCTCCCAACTGAATCTCATTTGCGAACGTGCCGCTAGTTCGCTCTGAGCGCCGGCTTATTTTGCGGAATTCACTTCGGGGACTGAGAAAGTGGCCGTGGAAAGGAGCTAGGCGCGCCAACCGATCTTGCCGATTTTGCCGATCTCGAGAATGACACGCGAAGAAAAGTGCCTATCGCGAGCGCGCAACTCGCAATTAGCTTAGAGAAACCGAGGCAAAAGGGAAAATCCAGTACGCGTGGACACGCAAAAGCCGCTCAAGTGTCGGGCGTTCGTTAGGATTCGAGAGGGAGAGGACGCGGTGTATCGGATTTCCGGTGACGAGGACGCCGCCGCACAGATCTGGCGGGAGTTGTGAATTTTTCGGCGGCCAATTCGGAGTTAGCCGGCTCGTCGGCTCTTTTGCAGGACTTCCCGCTGGCTGCACGGCCTGCGCGCGTTTCATTCCGAGCACCCCTCGAGAGAGAATTTCGAAAGAGATTTTTGGCCCCGAAAGCCGACGCGCGGAATCGCTGGGATCGAGCCGTGCCGGTTTTCCCGGCAGTTTTTCGCGTCCGCTGCAGCCGCTTGAAAAAATAGCTCGCGAAAGGGCAGCTCGCTCGCAATGCGAAATGCCGCGGCGAAAACCATAGCTCTAATCCACTCTGCCAATCGAACTCGGTGATCCGCCAGCAGATTTTGTCCTTTCGCCTTCGCCTGCAAATCCCGAGAATGCCCTCTGCGGATTTCCCCCCGTGTTCGCGCGAATCCTCGGGGTAAACACGAAAGGAGCAGGGGCTAGTTGCAAAGCCTTTTCAGAGAGACGTGCCACCGGTAAAACCTCTTGAACTTAATTCCGACGCCGAAAAGCCGAAAACTGACCGGGGCTGCGGATCAACGGGAAGAAAGTAGAAAGCGTCGAGTCGGAATAATATTGGAATAATATTGGAATAATATTGGAATAATATTTGATGAGCTTGTGATCGATCGACGATCAAACCCGTTGACAACAGTCATGCAAATGAGACTGGAGCGGCAGACCGGGTCCGCTTGCGATATCAAGAATATCGCTCGTACGTCCCTTCGCATTGACAATTTCCTAGATGAGGCGATGCGGCGCGAGCAGCGCCCGGCGAACGTGCGAAAGGCAAAGTAAAGCCATCGGATTTGTCCGTGGGACCATGGGATTGCAACTTTTAATATCCGCCCTCGGGAAAGTCTCTAACGAAGTTGCCGGAGGAAAAGCCAAATTTATACATATTGCCTGTTCCGCTGGTGTTCTGGCGCTCTGCAATCTGGCCACTGCAAACAAGCTGATATTAAAAGCGAGGCGAAGCACTCGATAATATCGTTTTCCGGCTTTAATTAAGCAGCGAGCGAGCATTCCGTGTATTCAAGGCAATTCTTTCTTCGAGCGCCACGCGCACACTCGTGTTTCTACGAATCGTGTGTCGCGTCGTCCAATTTTATCCAGCACTCCGCGCGCGCGCGCAACGCTATTTTATTAACCTTCGCCTCAGCCAAATTTTTAGAGTGCTGGTTGGGATGCCCCTGCCGTTCGTGCTTAATTATATCTATTGGCTTGACGCGAGCCATGCAAATTTGCCTTTCATTTCCGTTGATTTCGTCCCCGTTAATGTACACTTTGCGGCGCCACTCCTCACTTACACCGCCCGCGCCGTCGCAAATTCATTTTTTTCATTCCGTAACCAATTATTTTCATTTGCAAAGTGGCACGTCTCTCTTTCGCACTGCGAGCCGCAATTCCATTTCTAGCGGCTCTTTTATACCTAATTATAGAAGCTGCTCCGAAGGTTTCGTTCGAAATGTGCGCGTAACTTGACGATTGGCAAGCGTGTAGCCTTCGGCAGCCTTGTGCGCGCTCGCAGCGCATTCACGGTTTTCATCGGCCGTATTCGCCGCAGTTCGCCGCAGTTCGCGGCAACGCCTGGAAAAAAACTACTGCGTCGATCTGCCGCACCGGAAGAGCGCTCGCAAAGAGGAGCAAGTTCCCAACGTAGCGGCAGCATGCCAGCGCTCGCTCGTCGCCATTATTGCGTTAATTAGCAGCCAACTTTGCCGCGCTCGTTGCCAATTATGTGAACGCGCTGCCCTTTGATTATTGACTAATACTTCACACGGAAGCTGCTCTCTAACGAGTTAATTAAATCTCAGACGACGGCGATCTCACGATACGCGTCTCATTTTTCCTGCTGCGAGCTTGTTCCTCGCTAATCTCGCCATTTTGGAATCGAGCCGAAGGAGCTTACTCACGCCTCGACGACTCGGATCGAGAGAGAGGATCGGTCCTATCTTTGCCGCGCGACTTTTCTCAATTTTCCGCCCAAGACTCTTCTCCTCTTGCGAGCCTTTTACAAGGGATTATACTTGATTGGGCTCGCCGGAACTTTGAATATTCCAATTTTGCAAACGTCATTGAGTTTACTCGTTCACTTCACTCGCGGAAAGCGTGAGCTTTAATCGCACAGGTCGCATTTTTAGCGAAGATATCAAAGTCCTTTCGAAACAAATTGAAAGCAACCTGAACACAGCATGAGAGGTAGGCCAAGGAAAATGAGATATTGAAAATGAAAATATTCAGTAGTTCACGCTGCAAATAACAAGCAGTCGGCAATTCATTATTATTCACTGTTTGTCTCGCGAAAAAGCAATACGCATTAAGGCCGCGTCACGTGCACTTATGAAAAATGAGTTTTTAAGCGGGACGAGAGCAACGACGGTGATGACGACAACGACGACGACGACGACGACGACGACGACGACTCGAAATCACCGTTGCCCTGTATGTTAAGAGTAAAACGCAGCGCCGAAATGGAATTTTCGATGGCATACCCGTTTATTCCGCTCGGACAGCTTTGCCCGGAAAAGGCTGACGCGCGAAACAAGGATGATTATCGCGAGGCCAATTAACGATGAGATGCCATCGGCAAAGCGATAATAAGCAATCCAGGCGAAAACTCAGCGAGTCTCAAGCTCAAATCGATTAGAAAATGCAATTTGCATTACGCTCACCAACCCGCGCGGTGATAGTTGATATCGGTTACTTTTGCGCCGCCTGCAGCCGCAACTTTGCCTGTCTAACCAACTGAAAAGCCTCTCGTTATTCGACTAGATCGAATTAGCCAAGCGACATTTCCCACCAACTCTATAACTATTCTAATGCTGTAGCTCCAACTGCTCTTTTCAATTCGCACTAATTCTTCAATCGAAAATCGAACATCGAAAATTTAGTACCCGTTGTTCTCTTATATTTTCCGTTTTTAATATTGACCTACGTTTGGACGTTGTCATGGACTGGGAAAACCGCGCAGGCTCCACTTTGTTGAAACATAGAAAACGCAGTACGCCTCCAAAGTACATTACTAGAGAGTAGAAAAACTAGTTCAAAGCCGACGAACAACGGAACAATCGATCCCAACCAGATGGAAGTCAATCAATGCCGCGCTCTTTTTTTCCCCGACCAGCGATTCATGTAAATTCCCAACGATCGTTCTTCCTCTGTCTCTCCCGCACAATATGCGCGGAAGGGAGAAAATGAGCGAGGCAAGTTTCAAGTGCACGCGAGGCACGTCAAGCTCAACTTTGAAATTGAGTTGTCATCCTCTTCGAGGCAAGTTATACTCGCTCTCTCTGCCTTTCTCCCCCCCCCCCTCTCTCTCTCTCTCTCTCTATCGAGTAATGAGCCCGAACAACTTTTTCGTTCTTTTTTCTTAATAGCTATCGAAAAATTTTTAATCGACATCGCAAGCCATAATAATAGGATAACGCAGTCACTTTGCCCGAAAAGTTGAATTAAAACAGTTTCTCGGAGGTCGGGAGAAACCAAATGACCTTATCAAAAGCACGACGCTACTTTTTGCGTTGTACGTCGGAAACTGTGTGCTACAGCCGCGCGAGAGAGAGTGTGCCATTGACAAATGGCGCTTAATCGATTTGCCTGTCGCGGACACAAGTGCAAATCCGATTTTTGCGTCCGGCTTGAATACGCTTTCTCTCTCGCGCGCGCGAGCACGAGGATTATTTATTAATGAATTGTTTCATTCGGCATGGGTTATCGTCTTTTTTTTTTTTTTTTTTTTTTTAACTTGCTCGTTCGACGCGCGAGGCAGGACTCTTTAATGCGAGAATTTATGAGGTGGACTGTGCTTTGTCCGTGGATTTTGGCTGAACGTCGAGCGCGATCATTTGATGAAAGGAAAATATATGATTTCCCTCAAATATTTCGTTCTTTATTCATTGAATTTTCGCGTTGCGACGAGTGTTGCTTAATATTAAATTTTGTTGTTGTTTTGTTCGTGTTTATTGCGTGTTGCCCGGCAGAAACTAGTTGTAAACGTAGCTAGACTATTATTGCCGTTTTCGGGTTAAGCTAAAATGTAGTATTAATATGGAAAGCGAGTTTTGCAAATGAAAATTTGAATCTACCAAAGGGAATGACTACGATAAAATGACATGTACCGACAATGATGTCAATGATTTAGAGAAAAATGAAACAGTGGTGTCGCGATAAATCTAAATGAATGCAATAATATGATAGTAGGATAAGTTGAACGGTCGAATGGTTGCAGAGGGTCGCATACTGGAGCTACACTCGCCGGACGGCGTGCACGAGTGCTGGCTGAGGGCGATGGACGCAGCGGAGGCCAAGGCCTGGTTCAATGCACTGCACTCGGCACTGGCGGCACTCACCCTCAAGGCGCTCAGGCTCGCCTCGGCACTGTCAGACCCGTCACATCTGCAACACATCGGTTGGCTCGCCAGGAAACACTGTTCACAGGTCAGTCTTGTTCTCCGTCGTTCCGTGTTGCGGTAGGTCGCGCGGATCGCCAGATTCAGGCTATTGATATTTTCGCCTGCGACAAAGCCGGTTGCAGCGAAACGACAACGACGGTCCGTTTGACGAGAGCCGATTGAACGGCACACGGCAATATCAGCATTTTAGCATCGGCACTGACCAGGCCATTCATCGCGTTGACAGCCGCGCGCAGTCGACGCGCCACGCTTGCCCGAAGGCCGTCGAGGCTTCATCGAAATGGCGTCGCCAATTATTATTCAGCGATTCCGATGGCAATCGTACAAACTGTCAGCGATGAGCAACAACTTCATTATCAATTTGACCGATTTGACATTAGGCGCCGCGAGAGAAGTGTTCGTTTACAGAGATATACAGAAAACAAGAATTGCATTTGGTCTGCCTCGGCGAGATGAAATTGAATTGCGAGTTCGCGCCGAAGCGTCAGCGAATTGTCAAGTACGAAAAGACGTCTGTTCATTAGTTCCGACAGACAGCTGTCTCCGCCGGCCCGAGGAATGTTAATTGAAACGGAGCCCGCGCTTCGAACAAATGCTATAACACATCTGGTCAAACAGCAGCTCGCGACGGCGAGTAATTCAGATGAGTATTTCCTTAGCAGCGAGTCGCACAGCCAAGGAGCTCTCGGTCCTTCATTTGAAAATTAAATTTTTCGCCCGTCGTCTGTTTAGCTTTCGCCGCTACTCATCGCCATTATTACATCGCCAAGAGATCAAAGAAGAGATGATCGTTAATTAAATGGCTTCTCGCTTGCATCAGCTAATTATCGGGTTGCGTGGTCCGAATACGGCTGGACACTCACGGGACTCCGTCCTCAAGGCTTTCCTCGTAAATGCCAGTCAATCGTGTGGCCTCTACGCGCTCGTCTGTCTATTGATAAAGGAGCGTGTGTGCGCATGACAATCGATTTTCTTGGCTGTGTCGTGCATCCTGCGGAGAGCTGTGCGCCGGCCTGACTGCATCCCGAGACCTACCACTGACAACACTGCTTGACAATTTCATCGCGAATTGATCGCGACGAAGCGATCGAAGCGGGAAGACGGCATCTTAGCCCAACTTTGCAGCTGCAACTTTGCGCTTTCGTCGATAAGCAATAAGCAATCTCATATTGCATCGCAGCTCGCGAAGCTTGTCGAAAATCTAAAAATGAATAATTGCTCAGTCTCCGCACTCCGTTGCCGAGAAAGCTCCATTCGTTAGGGCCAGTTGTAGCCGAGGGAGGCTATTTGGGCGGTCGGCGCCAGCTGGCTCGCAATAACACCCGAAAGAGTCCGTCTGTGTAATGTGTATCAATGATCCTGACTAATTCTTCGGGTATATTAGCCGGACATACGTGAAATACGAATGGCCGAGGAGAAATATTGGCCAAATTTTGGTAATTGATGACGTTCGCCAAGAAATCGCTATCGTCCGAGTCCGGGGTTAAGAAAGCCGATTTGAAAAGTAGCCTGATCACCGTGGGTTGGGTTTGTTATTATTAATATAATATTCAATGCATTCGCCTCGTTGGAGCTGACGGGAATCGTGTATCTCATGGGAAAGTACGTTATCGGCAAACCGCGAAAAAGAATCGATATTTACGAGCCAATCTGAATAACTTGAATAACTAATTCGAGCTGCACGCAGCTTCTCTAGATTTGCATAGGCTCTTTCGCTGAACAGTTTGTTCGGCGTCGTCAATAAATACGCACACCTTCTCCGTGCCCTCTCCAGACCAATTCCAGCTGCTAGTGGACGGACTCGTGTGCAGTAATCAGGTATTTCCTTGGGGTACACTCGAAATGCCTTTTCTTCGGGCGAGCGCCAATAAAAAGGCCGTAAAGTCGCCTGGCTGGTCTGACGAGTTTCCGTTTGTACTGCCACGGGCTCACTGAGTTATTGCTGATTGTTGCTGACTGGCGGCCAGAGATTAATGCCCAACTGTTTTCATGCTCAGCAACTTGCATTGGGATGATTATGGCGGCTCAGGTTTTATTGCTAATTATTCTGGCGTTGCACGCTGCCCCAATCATATAGTCTCGAACATTGGCACCAGCAACCTATTTTTCAGCGACGCGATATGTTTCAAGGAAAATTAAACGTGTCTGCTTGACTTTGACGTTCGCTAAACAAGATATCTTTTTAACTTGCAACTTAAAACTGTAGACCTATTTACAAAAATGTACATCTATCTAAAACAGCAAAATCAAGATTTCCATTGATCGTCAAAGTATTTTTCGAATGATAAATAACGCGCTCGATCTAATACATTTGTGGATTTGTAAATTAAAAAAGTTGGTGCGATCGTAGTTCACTTATCGATCGGTTCATCTGCAGAATTCAATTAAAATCAGCAAACACTAAAAATAGTCGTCCGAAGTCGAATACTAAATAAAAATTCTAGGAGAACAGTCGGCTTTCCAAGTGACTTGCTTATGCCAAAAAGATGAGGATTACTCTAGATTGCTATTGGAAATTTGATTATGATTGATCGTGGTGGTACGTTCTTTATTTACGTAATCGCGGCAAATATTTCGAGGAAAAGGCTCGTTCCCCGTGAAAAGGGGCCGAGGTTAAAATGCTCTAATAGCGGGATTTAGCGAGTGGCTGAGAAGCCAAAAGCTCAAAAGCAGAGAGAGAGATTGGTGAAGGGAGGGGAAGAACGACAGCCCGAATGGAAAGCTGGGAAGCAGAATTACCGGAGAATTACGGGAGGGGGTTAAGACGAAGTTTTTGAGAGATATTCGGCAGCTCCGTCGGCGCGGAATCAGGGCAAACAGCGAAAGATTCAGCAGCAGCCGATTCGCGTGTCAACAGCGCGCCCAAGGCGTTTGACTCGAATCACGGAAAGTTAGAGTTTCGACGAATAAATAGCTAACGAGCCGAACGAGCCGAAAGTTTGCTTTTTCGCGCTTTGCGCGCCGAAATTTTTTGCGCGCCTTTTATGTTTTCATTTGCCCCCGACGACGACTTTTCGAGCTACTTGCTCACAATGGAACACTCGGCACTGTTTCGCCTTACACTGTTTGGCCGCGCTCGACATTCAATTGTTTGCCGGACTTGTTTCGCCAGCGACGAGAATTCGCTCTGTTCGCAAGGGCTGAAAATAGCATAGACGTGCTCATAATGGTGAGTTGGGTTCATAACGTTCGTTCAGTGCGAAAGTTGGAGGTGAAAGTGCGTCTGTTGATTGGGTAAGATGTGACAGAGAGATAGGTGAGGACGAGGCGTCGCACACTTTGGAGTGGTTAATTTTTCAGCTGGCAAAGGGCACCGGCCTAGAGTGAGACAGGCTGCGAAAGGAAGGCGTTCGCTTAAAAAAATACGAATACGGCTTGGAAAAATTGCAAAAAGGAAAGTGGCGCCGGGACCCCGAGAGACTGGCACGTGTGCGGCAAGTCGCTCCGGCGAAAAGGTATTCTCGTTGGAAATGTCTCGGCAGCGCGCAGACGGCTAAGTTATTCAAGGTGCAAACAGCGAACGCTCGAAGGTGCAGAGCCAAGAGCGGAAGATCTTATGGGTAAAGTATCGAGCGTCGGATGTAGGGCGAGAGAAGAGGGAGAGGAGCGCGAGTGCGTGGGGAGGTGCACGCGTAGCCAGACAGCCGAAAGAAAATCTCGTTGCGGGGCTAGTTACTCGGTCGCTCGCGCGGAACGTCGAGCCCCTAATGGGAAGTACATTAAGAGCTGTTCAAGTCCCTTCTTCCGTACTCGTTTGACGAAACTTAAGCCCGCTCGTGCATCGGAGATCAGTTTCAAGTTTGCCTCGAAACTCTGCAGCAAGGCTTGCATCGCGCGACATCCTTGTCATTTCGGCAAGGATCGAGTGACGCTCGACGCGAGATTTGTTTGCCTCGAATAAACACAGCAAAGTTCAGATTATCGTGTATTCCAGCGCGAGCGGGTCGCGACGTCGCGTACTTGGCTAACTTCGACTTGGCTCCATTGCCGAGCAGGAGTTTCTCTTTGATCCCTCGCGGCAAGACGGACGCCAGTGTACTTTCCTCGCTCCGTAATAAAATTCCGGGCCGCATTTCGTGTCACGCGACTCCATTGGTCAATTTTCAAGGCGCATTCCCAAAATTAACAATGCACGTGGCCTTTCCTCAAACTCAGCCTCAGCGGAGAACGCGAAACGAAAATCATTAGTGGCCTAGAATTACACGCGTAAATCCCTCTCCTTCGTCCCGTACACAGGCTAGAGCGCCCCTAGTAAAATCATCGTAAGCTTTTCCCCCAGCGCTATATCCTCTGCAGCAATATTCTCTATTACCGTGGTGGCCGTCGAGTAATCTAAGCGGGTTCGCCATTACTGTAATTGAATGCTCCTGGGATCAAATATCGGCGGCCTCACGCGCGCACCATAATGTTGATGAAGCAAAGTCAAAGAGAGAGACAGAGAGAGAGAGAGAGAGAGAGAGAGAGAGAGAGAGAGGCGCAGCAGCAGCGCGTGCATTAATCATGGCGTTATCGGACAGGCGAACGAGCGCAGCCTGCTGCCACGTTCCATCGCCTGCGAAATTGAAGGCCCGCAAGCCAAGACGCCAACTCCTTCGGCTCATTAGTCCGCGTCACTTGTGCTTTTCGTCTTCTGCCTCAAACTTACCTCTCGCTTATGGGACCGACGATTATCACGCTACTATCTGTCGATCAATTGATTTTTATCCATCTCGGCACGTCGCCTGCTTACCAACCGAGAGCTACGGGCTCTATCAACGCTCCATTACAATTATTTTTGGCACCTCGCCCATCGCCCATCCGAGCCATCATTAATTCTCGACAAATTGACGTACGAACAATTGAAAAATTTGAGATTCGGTAAGCAAACATCTTGTGCAAATGATCGGAAAGCACTCGCCTCGGGCAAACATGTCCGTTAGGCAGTGCAGGCGAAAAAACAATGGATTGCCCGCTACTAAGCTTAATTAGTGGGCTCTCTCGAACGAGGGGGTGGGGGCGCGTTGGGCGCGCTTATCAAACGTCGAGAGTCTGCTGGCGAGAGTGTTATGAGCCTCGGTACACTTAATACCCAGAACGCTCGGGATAGTGCATCAGCAATGCTAAGCAAACCGGTGGCGGCTCTTCTCTCTGCCGTCGGCCGAGTGTGTTTGCGCATCGCTCGAGCGTTAAGAGGATCGCCGCCATCGCCGCCCGCGCTCAGACGCAGCACAGCGAGACCGCCAAGTTCCAGGCCGATCTCCCTTCGATTGGCCGCTGTAATTAATTTTAACGCTCCGGCCCGTTTGTCTTCGGCCAGAGGCAAGCTCCTAATTGGCCCCGGCGCCTTCCTGTCGGCAAGCGAAAAACCCATCCGCGGATCGCAATAATTGCCCTTGGACCTCTGATTAAAGCCGGGGCTCAGATGAGCAACGTGCACCGGAAAGCTGTTTGCTCGAGGCGCGATGTGCTCGAGTCCTGCATCGCGGAAACGCGAGCTGCGAGGCGTGTGTGTACACCCAAGTCGACTCTCTGCCAGAGAGGAGCTTGTTTGAACTACTAGGCCGACTTGCCGCTTCGTAGGAGAAGCTCACAGACGCGAGGCGCTATCGCGACAAATTAAAGTGCCAGCCAAGTGTTGTCGCATAGCTTTTCAGAAATGCCGGCGCGTCTTTCGCTTTGACTAAGTAAGACGCTCGATCTCGGGGCTTCTCGTCTTCCTCGGATTCAACAAGGAATATTCGCTCGTATCCGCTTGCCGCGGTGAATTCTTCGGAAAGCACTCGCCTGTTCCAAGCACATCGACGTATCACGGCTAATGTTCCCACTCGCTCGTGCCAAGGGAAAGAAATCTGTAAAACCCGTCTGTCTGTCTGTCTGTCTGTCTCGTGAGTTTTGCCGGAGAGGAGAGGCTGCAAGTTTGTTGCGCGTACTTTGCCCGCTGAATAAAACGCAAGCGTGAGGGATGGTGCATTGTGGTGCATTGTCCGTGGCTGGGGGCTCATGCGATTTCGCGGTTGCGGAAGTACGTGAACATGATGTGGTTAGCTAATGGCGTTTCCATTTCTCGCCCAGAACCGACGGGCAGAGCCCCTGGAGCCAGCCAGCAGCACGAGGCGACAAGCAAGCCGAGCACGATAGCGGCCGCCGCAACGTCCAGCTAGCCACCCAATGCCCCCAAATGCATCTATCGCGCTTGCTCAAGCATCTCTCCGAATCTCCGAATCTCTCCAAATTAATATCGAGACCGATCCTGCGAGCCTTTTCTTTCCCCGAACGGTGCTCCCCGTTCGCTTGCTTGCTCTTGCATTGGCTGAAGCTTGGTCGGCTCGCTTGATGCACAGTGAGTACAAAACCACCAAAGAATTTCATGTATTTGCTAACTGCAAAACAAATCGAGCGGAAACAAATGAAACGGTCGCTAATCAAGGTAAAACGGTAACGCTGCATTGCAAAGGTCCACGGCCGCTCTCTGCAACTTGAACTTTTCTCCCCCCTTTTTAATAATCCTCGAATTATACTTTGTCTTAATTCGCGTTTACCGCTGAAACGATAAAAGCTGTGGCGTGCTTTTACTGCGTATATACATTTTTCCTCTTTTATTTTTACACGGAGAGCCTTCAAGACGGGTTTATTCGCCTCGCCACCGAGACGGAAATGAAAAGCTTGTATTTTTCAGACGAGGCTACGTAATTACAGCTTGAAGACGTTGAAAGTGGAGTACTTAGTAGGAGTTACTTTCTTTTCAAATGGACAGCTGGTTGTAACGCTTGAACGCAATTTTTTCTTCTTCGTCTTACTTTCTTATTTACAGTCTTACTTCGTGGATGTTGACGTGGCTGTTGACGTCGAGCAAAGAACTTTTTTCTTGCTCTAATTAGAAGACATTTGTATCAGACTAGATTTTATGAATTTGTTTTGACTAAGGAATTCATTATATCCAAAGCATCCAAGACCAGCAAAAATACATACGGCCAACAAAATTATTTCAACTACGAGCGATCTTCCGGAAATGCGCGACGTACCCGTCGGACATTCAATTAACGACTCGGCTTAGACAAGCTATCCGTCATACCTGCAATGCAACAAACTTTTTCCTATGAAAGGGTAGGTTTGCAATAATATGAGCGTTACCGTAAGATGAAAATAATAAAAAGAGTAACGTTAGGCATAGACAACTGAAGTAGTCCTTTTAAATTGCAAACTATAGGAATGAAGCATGCTCAGATCACTTAACTCGAATTTTATTAATAATTTTTTATTATACTATATGTTCTGTTTAATAAACACAACTTGTTACTACTTGTCTAACTTAAAGACTAAAAATTACTAATCGCAGTCGAAAGTTAGGAAACTAAGTGGATGATATAAAAATCACGCTACACGTTTTCCCGCACTCTCTCTCTCTCTCTCTCTCACACACACACACAGACACAGACGCACTCATACGTTTACAATAACTCGCTCGCACGTTCTTATCGCCTTACGACGCGTTCAGCCTAGCTGGTTTTTCCTTTACATTTACATATATACGACATCATTTATTATCCCAAGATGTTCCGAGCTATGAGACGACGAAAAGTTGAGCGGCCGATGCACAAATGTTCTCCGGGCTTGTGTGCACAGACTTTAGGTTCGGTAATAAACCCTTTGTCGATGCGCCGGAGCTGACTGCTCGACAGCTGCGGGTTTCTACCATATTTTCCTTTATTTGTGCGCGGCGATATTGATATTGATAATTGAGTGTCGCGGATGTTTGAAAGGTCGTGAAAAATCTTGTTGTTTATACGAAAAGGCTCGTTTATGTTGCTGCGACGATGCATCGTCTGTCCGGAAGAATGCGACGAAAGAAGCGTGAAAGCAGCTGACCTTGAAATTAACATCTGTTGCAGAACGGGCGAGCAAGCAGCGAGAGCAGCGAGGACGGCGCGGGCAGCAGCGCAAGCACGTCTCAAGGCTACGGATGCGCCGGCGGTTGGCGAAGCGTCTTTGGCGTCATTTCCGGCCGGGAACTGAGGCTCTACGAGTGCGCGCCGTGGAGCCCCGAGGCCTGGGCTTCGCCGAGCATCACCTGCCCGCTCATCGCTACGAGGTTTGTCGCCCGGACTATGCCATTGATATTGACACCGCTCGCGATCCATCACGCGCGCAACGCAGATCATCGCCGCAGTGACGGGCGGCAACCGAAAAGCAAAGCATCCATCAGCCAATAAATTGGGTCGGCACGCGAAACGGAGCGTTAAAACTGATCGCCAGCAAATGCACCGGAAGCTCGGCCATCAATCATGGCGGTGGCGCGCGTGTCGTTAACCCCTCGCTCGGTCGCGGCTTGGCCGTCGACGGCGCTGTCGCCCTTATTTGCGCGCCGCGCGTCTCTCTCGTCCCGAACGGAATGAACGGACGGCGTTCGGCCGTCTTGGACTCGAGCCCGCAAAAGCCACGCGCCAGCGTGAGACTCGATTACTTGTTGCGCGTTAAAAAGCCAGGCCCCTCGGCCCCTCGCTTATTCCGCGCGCGAGAGACAAAGAAGAGGACACTCTCAAGTCGGAGGCAGGAGGGGACGGCGGCAGGCAATAGAGCCGGTTAATTAATAGCGAGTGATTAATCGCGCGGTGCGCCTGCAAGCGGCAAACCCTCGTCAAACGAGCGCTGCGCTTCGCTACGTGATCTGCAAATACGGGCATATCATGTATAATGCGCAGTCACGTCTCCTCGCCCTCTCTCTGGCTCGCGCTATCTGCGCCGCGTTGCGTATCGTTACGAAGGCTTCGCTTTACAATGGAGCCCAAGCGAAGCCTCGATGCAGCCCTGGACTCCGAAAACGTTCGATAACGCGAAACCGTGGCTCCGGCTGTGATTTTCACAACGGAACGACGGCGGCGCGGCTAAAGCTCGATCTTAACTCGAACGACTGGTCGAGGAGACGTTCGGACGTTGGATGACGAACGACAGCACGAGCGGATGGACAGCGCCGAGCGCTTGTGCACGAGCGCGCATATCGCGGCGGTCTGGCCAATTACGTATCCCATTCCCGGCCAAGCTTGGAAACTCCTGACGAGCGCTAGCAGCAGTCTTGCGTACAGCAAACTTGGCCGGGCCAAACGCGCGCGCGCGCGCGCGCGGACTGCGAGCTCGAGTCTATGCAAATGGTTCAATCGGAGCGCGAGATGGGATATCGAGAGTCCCGCAAGTTTACTCGATTAATGAACGACTCGAATAACTTTTTCTTTTGTCGGCATTCGCGTACGTACCGCGCTATACGTAGTTCGCACGCGCGTTTGAGTTTCCCAACCCACGTGGACGATGGTTTCCACCGACGGTGGCGGACAAGTTCTCCGTTGGTCCAACTTTCAGCGGATTATTATTTCTCATTTGTCTTGGAGGAGTCTAGTGGCTGCCGACACTCATTTGCTGCACCTAGAAAATCCGCGCGAGCAATGGCCCTTCCAAAGCTCGATCGCAATTAGCTGGCGTGCAAGACTCCGAAATCCCGGCTAATCCATAAACACAGCCAGAGAGAAAAGGTCGAAAAGCGGGTTGCACTCCCCACAGTAAGTTCCATCCGGCTCACCGCCTCTCTTCCGTTGTGTTCTTCGCAAGTACTGAGGGCCAGAGGCAGCTTGCCAATTGCAACGCGGACGTTTGTTGGGCGCCAATCAAAGCGAGTCTGGCGCAAAACACGCGGCAGCCTCTCCCTTTCCATGTTATCCGTCCGTCGATGTTGCTGCTCGGTGCAGGACATTTGCTCCGGTGCAGTTGGATTAATTTGTACTGAGACAAGCTACGGATTATCTCGTGGTGCCTTTCTCTTGCTGCCGTTCGCCTCCTGACTTCCGAACTTGCGCTTGCTCCCTCCGTTCGGCCCGCGATGCTTCTTCTCCAATTCCTCATTTGCAGCTGCAGACTCGCTCCTCGTTCTAACTTGTTCAACTCTTGCATTATTTTTTTTTCTGCTGTTCTTTCTTCAATTCGACCGCGTTTATTTTATTCGCGTTGCTTTTATCTTTGAATGAGTCGTGAAAACACGATAAAACTGGTTTTATTGGATGATATAATTTCGACTTCCGAAATCTTCCGACAGCCCAGCTAGAGTCACCGAACAGTTCATGTAAGATGAATTTTAAAAATGAAAAACCGTTTTTGTCTAGATCGAGTTATCGTGCAAATGTTTTCTAATTTTTGATCAAGTTGGGTGAATGCCCTCGTACTTGCGATTTATGCTCACTCATAAATCTCGCAACAAACTGCTTCGGACCTCTTTTACGAAAATAATGGTCTTCTTTCTACATCGCAAACACTATTTAATCTCCGTAGAAAGCGCATAAAAGGCAAGATTACCTCTAATGAATCAATATTATGAATAAAAAGCAACAGTAAAACATTTTGATCGTGTCAGCAAATGGAAAGAAAGGAGCGCTCTATCCGCTGGACAGCGATGAAGCGCCTCCCGAGTGGATATAGCGCGCAAAGAGAAGACGGATATCGACAGCAGCGCTGATTTCGCAAACGCGCGCAGTCTATATTTCACGTATTTCACGAGGACTCGCCATTTATTCAGTGCCTCGATGCTCCTTTTTTGTTTTGTCAAGCCTCGCGCTTGTCGATTGCCTGCAAACGGCGTAAATATTCCATGTATCGCCGAGAGTTGCTCGCAGTTGCCGTCGTTGATTGATTGTTACCTTATCGATATCGCAACGATATATCGCGCCGATTTATCGACGCAAAAAGCTTGCACGACTGCTGCAGATAACTAATGCCAGGGACTAATTGTTAATCTTCATTTGGTCAATGCCTATTGACTGCTTCGCTTCGTTACTTTTGCTTTGTTCTCGCAATGATTGATCCGAAAAGAAGAATGAGCCTCGCGGAATAGATCGACCATTGTTGTCATTGTTCAAGATCAATGAGGAACAAGATAAATAACGAGATACTATCCAAGTAGCTCATCTTTTACCGAAATGGCGCCGCTACGGAATACTTTATAACAAAGCGTAGGACGCTCCCGCTTTCCCATAACGTCACACAGCACGACGCAATGATCCATCGACCCAAGCTGCATTGCTGTTGCTTTCTCGAAAGACCCCCCCCCCCCCCACCTCCGAAAATCGGCGAGCTTGGCCTAGCCGAAGGTCCATTTTTTCTACCGCGATCTGACGCGGAACGCGACTTATTCTCCTCCGAATCCTTTGGACATCGACGAGCGTTCGATCGCCAACTAAGAGCAAGGCTCGTTCCGATTTCGGCTCGACAGCTGCGGCTGCATTTCCGAACTGGCTTGGAAAGGTTCATCGATTGGCCGTCGGCTTCCGTTGCCAATATCACGACGTTATAAATAAAAAAAAGTAAAAAGGGATCGCTCCTCTACAGGCTAGTGTCGGTACCGGCCAAGCAGAGCGAGGCAGCGTCATCTGGCAACGGCGCGGCAAGTTACGCATCAACGTTTGCCGTGAGAGTCGGCACACCCGAGGGCGTCGTCACGCATAGCTTTCAAACGGAGACGAGGCGAGATCTGGCTGCCTGGGCAAGGGCTATCGTGCAAGGATGCCACGCAGCTGCGCACTCGCTCAGGGAGTACACCGTTCGTAAGTATCGCCTCCTGCGATTGCGCGGTCGCGTAACATTCCTCGCTCGGTGCACTGAAAGATGCCGGGCCAAACGACACAATCTCTCGAATCTCTCGTTACTTGCACTGCAGGCTGCTTGTGGCAAGGCAAGCCCTGCCAGTTGGTAGTGCACCACGAGGAAGGCTTTGCGCTGTACGCCGCCGGCGCGAGGGCAGTCGCGGGCAGCGGGCTCAGTCCGGGCTCGCTACCAGCGCCGCTCTGGCATAGGCCTTTCGACAAGCTACGGATGTCGGCTGACGACGGTGCCAGGTTGCTGTGGCTCGACTTCGTTGGCGATGACACGGAGATCGTAAGTTCATCGTAGACCTTTATCTCTTTTACGCCGTATACAGTCGTACCGAATGTACGTCAAAAGTTGTAGCCCAAGGAATATTCATTCGTGTACGAAAATTAAGTGATGATAATTTTAGCGATTTCGATAAATTCGAAAATAACCGTTTCTCCGTCATCCATCGATATGAAAGCTTTCGATTTTGCTAACCAAGTGAATTATGGATTCTTATGGACGCTTAAAAATTTATTCCCACGAGCAATATTCCAGGCTTCCGGGCGCTTGCGCAAGAAGGCGTCTAATTAAAAGGCCAATACATTTTCACGTGCACTGCTCATTGATACCCGATTCGTTTTGGCTTTGATCACTCGCGGAGTACTTTTGCGTATCGTTCGCCCGTTAAAAAGAGAACAAAGGCGAGGCAAACGCGTCCGCTGAAGAACAGGCTGGTGAGTGCGTTTCATGGGCCGGCAAAAAAGTCAACACGTTAATCGTACAGCGATGCGTCATCGTCGAAAGCTTTGATCAATTCGAATGGCATGTAGCGTTTACGCGGATACGAAAGCGCAACCCGTAAAACGCCTCTATTCTGTCAACATGCGCACTCGCGCTTGGCCGATACGCGAGGCGCAAACAGAAGCCCTCTATTAGGTTACGCCTGAGCGAATGATAATCTTCTAATGCTTCCAATGATCCGATCGTCGGAAGCGCCGGTGAGCTCTGTCGCTGCCTACCGCCTCCTCGGTTCGCGCTCCTATTTCTGCGCGTCTCGGCCAAATGGAAAATTCGACGCTTTGACGGGCCCTGGATTTTGCTTATCCGTCGCCGCGCCGCCAACGCCTGGCAAAAAGGATTCTTCCCGCAGATTCTAGACTTAGCGGTGGTTTTCTTACAACGAAAAAATAAATTGCTGTGACTAGACTGGATGAAATACATTGCCGATAACGTGAAAAAAATTTTTTTTTCCACTGCATCATGTTTATCTTTAATGTCGTTCAAATCCAAGTGGAAATCTCTCAAACAAATATTATCAATCGCAATCTCGTCTGACCATATCCAGTTTGTACCACTAAGTTATCAAGCGCTAAATAAAAACGTATTTTTTTATCTCGCGCTTCATTGAAACAAAAAAAAATATAATCCGTGCGAGCTTCCCACCACGGTCGTCGATCCTGCGTAGCGAAAAGCGTAAAGTTCGTTGACACATGCAGAAAGGATAGAATGAGTAGGGAGGAGAGAGAGAGAGAGAGAGAGAGAGAGAGAGAGAGAGAGAGAGAGAGAGATCCGGCATACGCGCGTAATTTTTTCCCATCGGCGTCATCGGCGCATCCCCTCGAGGCGTTGACGCTCGCAATCAAAGGGAAACTGCGCGCACGCGTGTAAAGCGAAATTTATTTTCCTTCCGAATAATACGTCTCGACGTTTTTCCACTTGGTCACATTTTGAGGCAAGCGAATCGCGTTAAAAAAGAAAAGACCGAAAGCGAGAGGAACGTGCGAATTCCTGTCGTGTACTTTTGTTCCGGAAAGCGTATTGCAAGGCGTATGGTATTTGAATGCTGAAACTGTTGGTGATGAATGTTCGTTAAGTAATGAAAAATTCTGTGAATTTTAATAGTATAACGTGCGAGAAGTAAATTTTATTTATTAAAACTTTTCAACATTTTAAAATCGCGTAAACGTGTAAAAATGTATTCTGCTGTGAATATAAATTTTATGATAGACGAGTATGGCTGAAGTACTGTGAGAATTCGTAGAGAAGAAAACAGCGCAGCGTTCGCTAAATTTGTAATTGGTCCATTAAAGTAGTTTCTTGCGCTATTGCATTTGACTTAACGAGTCAGCCGTCGTTATAAATTATAAAGCACCATCCATCATCGTAATGTACGCAAAAGTTGAAATGGTTTTGGAAAACAATGTTTACTCGAAATTGAAATGTATCGAGTGTTGTAGAAAAAAATGTGGGCGTCGAATGACATTGATATTGTTTGTTGCAGGAGTTGGACTTGGAAAGCTGCCCGAAGCCAATAGTATTCGTGCTTCACAACTTTTTGTCGGCCAAGATCCATCGGCTCGGTCTGAGTACATAGGGCTACGAGGGGGCCCCACAGGAGGTCCCCGATTTGCCACCTCACACCACGCGCTCCGTCACCAGTGTCTTTCTGCACTGACCGATGACTCGAGCGAGAGATGTCTATACGACATTGTGTACAAAATAACGCTGAACCCCTTTTTTCAACAGCAAGTGCAAATGATTAAGAATCAAGAAGAGGATCAGGGAGAGAATGAGGGAGAAAAACGAAAAAAAAAAAAAAAAAACGAATAATTTTATTTTTTTATTAATTTATGCATACGTTAGTTTTATCAAATAGGATTCAAATGCTCATTCCATTAGTACTATCGTCATTGTTATCACGATACTCTTAGCAAATCACTGAATTCAGTTTTGATCTTAGTTATAAGTTTGTATATCAAATTGGCATGGTGCAGAATTGTATAGACTCGAAGCAGCTGTTGAAGAGCCGAGGACTGTACGACAATAGCACCAAAAGCAAGCAAAAATGCAATACGTGTAAAAAAATAACGGCAACTTTTGTATATTCGCCATACAGTTTCTAATACGAATAATAGCAACACTTATAACTCAGATAGCTAATAAGAGTTGTCGGGGCGAACCTAATTCTGAAACGAGTATCCTCGTCTCGTAGATCGTACGGCAGAGTAAATCGTATTTGGAGCAGCAACAAGTGTCTTCGGTTCGATTAGCCATCGCTTATTTTAATAACATCGCGTGCGAGAGAGAAAACTTTTGGGTACAAAGTTTTTCAATAGTTGCGCGCGGAGGACGAACAAAAACAGTAAGAGGGAGAAAAAAGTATTACGCTCAGGGGGTTAATTGCTGCAATATTTGTAAGTGCTGCAAAAGTTCGGATGTTGGAAAGGCTGCTTTTCATAATTAACGGGCGCTTTCTACTTTGGAGGATTGCAAAAAGTTTTGCAAACAAGAAAAGCAGGAAAACCCAAGCATTGTTCTACTTTCTCAATTGACACATTTCTTTGATTAAACTTTATTAATTTCATAGAACGATGCAAAAGCTCAATTTTTTTGTTCTCTGGCTCATTTGTTTTTCCTTCTCGGTCGTATACTCGATTAGTTTTGATTCAATTCAATTCGAAACTTGTCTCTCGTGCAACTCTTTTCAGGAGAACATTAATTCACTTTTGAGGCATTGCACGGGAACGTTCAAGTGATTGCGTTCCGGTGTTTAAATATCTGACCAGCAGTGAAGTAGAAAAAATCTTATTGAAAAATCGATAGTTGGCTAAATTTGCCGAATGACGATAGTAAAGTAGTGCGGCCGTAACTGTCGGCGTAAAAGGCGAACAGAGGTGCGAAATAAAATCGATGGCGCGACGAACAAAAGAAGGAAAAGAGTCCTTGCGGCGCAAAGACAACTCGCAAAAATTGCTGAAAAGACGCGCGACACGTAAAAAAGAGAAAGACACCGCGCGACAATATTACGTGTCATAGTGGCCTCGTAAAGCGTTGTTCGCAATTAAAAATTTACGGCCTCCGCTCACTCCAAACAAATTCATATCTCCCTGCGCTCTCGCAATAATTAACGAGGAGCTGTCTTACTAAGTGGGCATACCAACGCAAGAAAACAGAAAGAATGTATAGGTGCATGAATATGAAGTTTCAGCCAAACGATTTTTATCGGTCGAGAGATTAACAATAATAATTATGCGACAAGTCCACGACTATATTCCACTTTGTTTACGACTTAGCTGTTGTAAGATGTTTCGCTCTGAGCTCGTGTACATAAACGTTTGCAACTGAAAGGATACAAGTTGCTTCTGAAGGTTTCTAGAAATATCGGTCGACTGTGTAAATTACGAGCTTCTCAATTTCACATAGACATTTTCATTCTTATATCCAATCAACTTTGCATATCCGAGGACAAACAGGAGGACAACACGCAGGTACTATTCACTACTAGATAGTATTAATGTAAATAGCGACATTTCGACAACAAATAAATGAATAATAAATAAATAAGTAAATAAATAAATTATGAAAATGACACACATCTCGTAACAAGTAAGAAAGTAAACTCTAGTAGGTACATTAAGATAAACCAATTTTTCAAGTGTTATCGAGGAACGTATCAAAATTAAATGATAAAACAATACGAAACATACGTTGATAAAAGTTTTTTATGTACTTTACGAATGTTTGTTGTTGATGTTTAAACCACGATTCATTTTATTAATCAAAAAGGAAGGACAAGAAGAGGACGTCAAGTAGTAGAACAGGAAAACACCTGTTATTGATTGTCAACACGAATTTATTTCTAGGTCATTTATTTCTGGCGATACTTCCAACCTTTTTATAAGATGTAACATACAATAAATATCTAAACTACTCCGCCCTCCTACGAAGAAGAAAGAAAAAGAACGAAATATCATCGAGAAATTCTCATAACCCATATCAACTCATATCATCATCGTCGTGATCGTAATCGAGAGCGACACGCGCATGTCCAGTAAAAAAACTACAAGTAAAAGTGTCTCGCTGTTTCGTAAATATGAAGCGAGGCTAAACGAAGTATGAGTGCGAATCATTGTATTTTTCTAATGATTTTGGCCTTTTGCGAGATAAGAGACAAAAGAAAATCATACACGACGTTCAAACGATTATACATATTATAAATAAGTAGCAGAAAATTAAATAACGAGAATGAGAAAGAAGACATAACGCGTGAGTGACACTAATAAGTAACGACTGTGTAGACGAAAGCCAGAAGTATAAATATGAATATATAAATAAATATATATGTATACATTGGAGGGTTCTTGAATTTCATTTTGCTAGATTATGAGAGTTAATGTATCTAAAAGTTACCAAATAAACACATGGTTAGAAAATTAAAAACATTCTCTTTAATTTATTTACAATCTGTACTTTTATTCGATACTATCTAGTTCTATTTAAAGTATTAGTAATTCCTCTCGCAGAAGTAACCATTCTATTAGTAGTCTTTAATAATTATTGATTTTTATTTTATTTTTTTTTTAGGATAATTGTGGACGAGGTGAAAAAATAATCAGACACAATTCAAAGAAACGATTACACATATATAACTACAACATATTTAACAATGCTTTCGCCAACTTTCAATTTATTTCTCAATAAAATGTATTAATTTGAAAAACGAGTCAATAACAGCCAATTAACAATAGCTGACAAGATGACAAACTTTTAAAAGATTTAATTACTTTTTTTTTTGTAAAAGTGCAACGAGGAAACGAAGAGTAGCTTTTCTTCTGAACAACAAGACAACGGCATTTTTGAAAATCCAATATGCATAATAATTCACAGATAAGAATCTACAAACACATATTGGGTAAACAAGAAACATACGTCGACTCGTCAAAAAAAAGTCGTAGTTCCAAATAAATCGATCAAATGCAACTCCGCATAGGTACAATATCCATCCGTTCGGCTATCGTGGACGAATGACGAATGCACTCGACAAAAGTCGCACGTTTCGCGATAACTTGTGCCCGTCCGCTAGCGACTTTTGTCATTTTTATCGCGAGAGTGGTCGTCGCGCTCACACTGCAAGCGAAACTTTGCTTATCTGGATGCTCTGGACTGGCAATCGAATCTCGCGCGCACTTTGATAAGTTTGGGAAGTATGAAGCTTTCGCTCTCGCATATACATATATACACGCGCGCACATGCGCGCGTACACACACACACACACACGCACACCCACACACACACACACATCTATATATATCGGAATGGGCCAACTTTGAAGAGTAATGGAGAACGGCCGCCGCTTTATTTTTCCGACGGGTTTAGCCTTGGACTTCTTCTCTTTCGTTTTTTTGTTTTCTCAAGGATAAGCGAGACGAAGAAGCTCTCGCGCGTATAGGCAAAGTTTGCGCCATCAAACTCCTAGCGTATATATATTTGCAGGCTCAAGACGGTTTCTCGAGTGGACGGACTTTCTCGACTTATTAGTTTTTCCCATGGGCACTTTTCTCAAAACTCTATCTGGCAAGAGTACATTACTTTTTCATCAACCTTAGATAATTGTGCGACGCACTTCCGCAACGATTCAATAACAACGCTGGAATCCTAGCGCCATTGTGAAAATGCCTGTGACCGATTGACAATGGATAAACTCGTAAACGCACAGTATGCCATTGGATCCGAAAACCATGGTGGCCGCCATTCGGAAAGCAATTCACTTTTGAATTTCTGTCGACAGAGCCGATGTGGACAAACGATCTCTTTATTCCACGAAACGAATGGATTATGTTTGCGGTCTGGCGTGAGCCATCAAAACAATCGATCGAAAAAAGTCGAATACACGCCATTGAATTACACGAGACTTCGCGAAGAGGCTTATAGATCGCAGTCACAGATTTTATTAGCACGTGGCGAGCAAACGATTGCCATTGCGCAGTGGATCACTGTGGCCGAATCGACATATTAGTGTGCAAATAGTCGATCCGTTTTATAAATAATTAGCAAAACGTCTCACGACGATGTGAAGCGAACAGTAGTGTGAATAATAGAGCACAACAGAGCATGCCGTTGCTGTTCCGTGATAGTCGGAGAAGAGCTTGCTTTTACCTTGTCCTTGTGTCATTCAGTCCACGAAATAAAACATAGAGATGTATTTGTAATAATGTAGAACGGGGAAAATGACAAACGAAAATACACACCCACAGATACGGTGGGTATAAATTACAAATATTGAAAAAGGGGAGGATGGATCGGAGGAAGGGCCGTCGTGACTCGTATAAAAGTTAGCTGGCTTTGATAAAATTCAGTTGGAAAGATAAGAGATGATTATTCGCTGTTACAATGTGATGGAGCCACACGAGAAATCGATATATTCATGAAATTTGATCGCTTGAGCAGCAGCGGCGAAATAACTTCATCCCACTGAAAGGTCGGTAGACTTAACGGTCCTTCTGTCGAGGCTTTAATGGCTGAACTGCGAGGATCGTAAAAGTACAGGTATGGCTGGTCGCGTAAAAAGAAGAGAAAAATCCGCCTGGCGACAAAGGTCCAGCGCAGGTGGGCCGCTTGAACTCTCGACCATCGCAGCCTTTGCAATAATTATTACAATCCGAAGAATGTGCGCGCGAGGGCTTTCTCATTGTTTGCGCGCGACAAACGAGCAGCACGATAAATTGCAATTACCGCTCGCGCGAAACGAAAGCAATGGAATTGAACTTATTTACGAGGCGCCGTCAATTCCGCGAGGATTAATGCGTCATTATATAGTGCTCGATTTTTTCTTCTTACTCGGCGTTGCAGCGTAACTCGACAATAATGCTCGGACATTATTACTTGGACGTGCATTATTGAATTTATGCTCGGCAGAATTTGCGCTGGCCGGCTAAATGAAAAATGAATAATTCGACAATGACAGACTGAAAATAAAAGGTAATTAACGATCTCGGCGCCGTTATTTGCCCGGGCGCACTGTGAATTTTCATTTGTCGGGGTTACCGGTACGTGTGCGCACACCTCGATTGCTTCGTCCGCGTTAGTTGCCGATTACCGGCGATCAGCAGTAACGAACGGTTATGCTCAGGCTTGTTCATTGGTCGGCCGTGTTGCTGCGGAACGTCCGCTTGCGAAGAAAGCGATTCCGCAATCGTCTCGTTAAAGCGATTCTTGAAAGCCGACTCGCAACAGCATCAAAGTCCACTTGGGCTTTCATAGTCGGCCGCTCATGAATTCCAATAGGCTAAACTCGGCCGAGAGCGCGCGAGCTTTTTGCTACCGCGCCGCTGCAAAGCTCACGCGGAACGGATGCCCGGCTATATGCCTCTATTCGAAGAAGAGGTCGTGTGTGTGCAGCGCGCCGAGAGAGCCAATGAAAGTTTTAAACGATCGACGCACAGTTTGACATTCGCATTCGTGTAGCACTTGGAGCGGCTGCGCGTGAAACGTGCACGTGTGCCGAGCTTTTCCGCGCGTCTCGCATTTGTCTTCCGCGCGCGCCACAACGAAATATCGAATGCAAGCGAGACACACAAGTAATAAATGTCCGCGGCGTGGCAAGCACTTCGGAATATCTTTCGCGCTTCAATTTTGACGCGTCCTCTCTTCTCCCTTTCCTTTTGCGCTGGTTTTGCCTCGTTGAAAGGCCAGTTCCAGGTTCCGCGGCAGGCTTTTTGGAAAAACGCGGACGGCCGAGCGCATCGGCGCCGACGCCAGTGACTCTCTCGGTCTCTCGCGATCGCGCGACAGACCTTCAATTTCTTGATAATCCTCGGGGCAACAGCAGCGGCGGCAGCCCCCGCGCGAATCCCTATTCCAGCAAGCGTCCTTTTGTCTGTGCGATGTCGGGTACGAAGGGAGAGACGAACTACCGGCGCAGCGAGCATTTCAATCGAATGGCGCGTTCCTTAGCTTTCGGCGCGCGTCTCGATCTAGCAGGCCACCCGCGCGCTCGCTCTTTCCCTTTTCGCCTTTTATTCCGGCGACGTAGCCTCTTTACCGATGTAAATTGAAAATGTTTCAACCGCGAGCGAATATAACGCCAACATTCCGCATTCCGTCGACTCCCTCCCTCTTCCTCGGCAGCGCAATCGCGACGATTTTATCACCCGTGACTTTTCTTCTTCGTCTGCCTTCCCAAACTCGCACTGCTGCTACTGCCGCTGTTGCCGCTGCTGCCGCTGCTACCGCTACCTTTTACGTCTCGCTGGCTTGGATTCTCGCCCGCGCGATTCCACGGATATTTCAAATTACAAACGAATAGTTCACTACGCTTGGTTTATCTGCAGTGTCAGTAAAAGTCCAAGAATCGAGGGAGCAATTAACTATGTTTTAGAATTGCATTGGCTCAGAGGAAGTGTGTTGGATTAGTAATTGAAAAAAAGCGAGGTGCTGCAGGGTTTTCGGTGATCGCTGAGCGCGGAAAAATCAGAAATGCATCTTCTTTGTTGTTTGCTTGCCGGACGAAAGCGGAGTGCTGCTAAGGTTAGGCGCGCTGCCTACTCGAAATGCCACTCGAGTCGTAGAGAGACGAGACGCCGAAAGGCTTGCCGATGTAAAAGGCCAGAAAGAACAAGGGAAAGGAAGGCGGTAGAAGGAGGGCGAAGAGCCCCGGGCTAATTCAAAGTTTTACGCCGGGCGTAGCCCTTGCGCGTGCGAATATTCTTGAAGCCGCGAGCCAGAGATAAGAGGAGTACGGCATTTAGTGCCCCGAGATTTTTCTCCATTCGCGAGCTGGGCTATTCGTGCGAGTTTACAGATCGCGCCTGCTTTCCTCTTCGGGAAAGTTAGATAGCGACTCGGCAGCCAGCTCTTTTCAAATCATTCGAGCGACAGGAATCAGTTGACTGTGCGTTCAGCACGCAGCACTAAGTGTAGTCTTTATTTGAAACAGAGACATTGGCGTTGGATAGTACGCCACACGGCTACGCAGAGCGAATAAACCGGATACGATCATAGCCTGGAATTATGTACAAGAGGGTAGCAGCGCCGAGGCTAATGCCGGCAGCACTGGCAGCGGCAGTAGTCGATCAATTGTAACAACAAGCTCGTCGCGCGGCAGATTAGGCGCCAAGCGCTGCATTGCACAGATATAACTTATACCTTATAATATCATTTATATTTTATATATGTATATACGTATACAGAAATTATATGTATGTATATCCCCATGTGGATTTCGCGTCGTTTCCTTTTTCATCTTCTTCTTCCTTAACGAATCGGAATTGGCACTAAGAATTCAATGTGAAACGCTCGCTTACGTGTGAATACTGATGTTTCGATACTTAAAATTACTTTGCTTTGCTTTCTTCCGTTAAAAGGGCTTCGGGAGAGCGTCCATTTTCTTTTCTTCCGGCAAAGTGCGTGGCACGAAATCGACTGTGCGCTGTGCGTTGATGTTGCATCAAGTACACTGCCGTGTATAATATAAGACTACGTAACGAGCACTAACAGGACGCTAACTGATCATCTCGTAAGACTAACAAGTAAAATGGAAGACAACGACACCATATATCTTTTATGATGACGCTTCGCGGGCAGAAAGCCACGCGAGACTATGGCAATATTAACGGCAGCGCGCGCTGGCGCAAACTTGGGCGTCGAGGGGGTGCCCTTTGTCTCGACGGCCTCGACGACCAAGCTGCGTTCGACGATACAAACTAGCGCTATTTATTTCGATCTTTGGTAAGTTGCCTTCTGTGCACTGGGTGGCGGGGGGAGAGGGGGTGGGCGAGGTTTTACCAACGATGGAAACGAGATTCGGCGCCGCGATATGCAGAAACGAACTAACGAATAGTGGATCGTTAGAATTTAGACGTTGATGTTGCATGGCTTCAATTCCATGAACTGATAAGGCACGTGAAGTGTGGTGCCGTTGTGCTCGACTAGCAGATGACCACGGCGTTGAGAGGCTCCGATTACCAAGACTGTCTCGCCTTTGAGCAGCACAACTTCGCCCTCGCCCTCTTCTGAAAATGAAAAGTGCGACCGCCGTGAAATATCCATTGATTTCAAAGTACTCAGAGCTACTGCGAGTTCCACGAGCCCACGAGCCCACGAGCCCACTGTTTATTCGTATTATTTGCACTGAAAGCGAAGCAATGACACGTGTTTGCGATACACTCCAATCAATTGAACGGTACGAGCAACTAGATTAATCAAACTGCCTCCAATCGGGATAATTGTATTTACTCAATATATATTCAATGAACGAATTGCCGTCGATGGCGATTGTAGGCTATTACTATTGGCTTACCGGGGAATGGAGTTTTCATCACTCTCGTCTGCGGGTAGCCCAATTTTGTATTTCCCGTGACGGTGTAGGACCTGCTCGGTGGGAGCGGCGGTGGTCGTTCCTAAAACCAAATTCCAAGGTGAGCGCCGACGCCAGCGTGCACGGCAAACGGACGAAAAATTACACACGAGATCGAGCCCGAAAAGCGTGCAGGTCTGCTGAATCATCTTGGGGTCGGCGCACTTTTCCGAGGGATCCGGCGGCGGTGTGCCCGCGATCGGTTGAGGCCTCGGCCTCGCGCTACTCCCATTGCTCGCGACGCTCCTCTGCAGCGTACCCAGCGATCCGATCGGCGCATTCGCCGGCGACGGTTGCTGCACGCTCGTCGTCAGTTGCTTCGGGCTCAGGCTCGATCTCACGAGACTGCGCTTCGAGCGGCGCAGCGTCCATCTTCGTCGTATTCGCCAGCCCCGCCAGCTCGCCTGCGCACGTCGTATCAAGTTCTTTCAAGGCTGTCGCCGCGATTGCGCGCTCGCCCCCAGCAGAGCGATCCCCTGTATGTCACCTGTATGTCGGTAGCCGCGCGGCTCCTTATGTCCGACCTCAAATTCTCGAGCTGCTGCCTGATGCCCTCGCTCAAGAAAATGTGCCTCTTGCCCAGCGCCCAACTGGTGCTCGCGTTGAAGCTGCTCTTGAGCTGCTGGGCGTTCTGCAGAATGAGCTTCGTGTCCTCGATCGCCTGCTCCTCGCTGCGCCTCAGCTGCTTGAACGGCGCGATCAGCCTGTACCTCGAGTTGAAGGCTTTGAAGCGCATGCGGTGAGGGTAACCGCCCGCCATGAGGTTCACTGTTTCCAAGACTTGCAGAGAGCGAATTTGACGCATGGCCACGTTGCGGTCGAACTGCATCGGCGTCTCGGTGGCGTTGCTGCGCACGCAGCGCACGAAATGCGGACGCGCGTGGACCAGAGTGCGAAGAAGATTGTCCAGGCGAGTGTGAAAATCCTGAGTCAAAGTCGAGATTGGCTCGTCTCCGTTCAACCTGTGACAATCAGAACGACGATAATTGCATCGCCAAGTGAATTCAATGAAACTCGTGTCGCGATGGAACTCAGCCCACGGAAATATGCGTTTCATCTTTCGAGGTGCGGCACATATCCATCGACCGTGAAACATTTCTCGAGAGCGCGCCTGAAATTCGCAGCTCGGCGACACTTGATATAACACTTACAAGTCGGTATGAGAAGTAGGAGAGATGCGAAAACTGACGCCCCTCGGCACTGTGTCACTCGCGTAAAGTGCCTTCAGCTCGCTACCAAAGAGATGAGTTGCGAAGCCAAAGTTGCACGTGTGTTTGTAGAAAACTGCCACTAGGTCATCCGGCACTACATCTTTATTCGTGTCTGAAGAAAGAGAGAAACAGAGAAACAGAGAGAGAGAGAGAGAGAGATTTTTAAAGCGTCGTCTCGATTGTGTTTTTGCTTGTAGCCCGCATCTTACCAAGAAAGTCGGAAGCGTCGTAGACTACACGACCTGCGAAGTGTTGTATTCCAAACGAACGACAATCCATCATTCTCGTCTCGAATAATCGTGGATTATGCTTGTGCTGAACTTTGACCTTTGACGCGTAATTCTCAGCTGTACCTCTGATCGAACACTCGACATCCAACATACTCAACAAACCCGTTCGCTAAAGAGTGCAAGGAACATCAATCGCAATCGAAGGAACGGAGTGACGAAGAGAGAGAGAGAGAGAGAGAGAGAGAGAGAGAGAGAGAGAACGGAAGGTGAGATTGGCGTACCAGCGAGGAGATGAGGTCGATGCAAGGCACGTTATCGACGTAATCGACTTCGACGTCGCACCTGATGCCCTCGTCGCGGCAGCTCTCGATCGAGCTCTTGAATATGTGGGTGTTGTAGAAGTGCTGCATCGTCTCGGCGCACAGATTGATGCACAGGTGCTCCAGTTGCGACGGCTTGGGATCCTCGAAGCCGAACATATCGAGGATCCCGATGAAACCGTCCGTCGCGTGACGGACTGCGTTGTTCAGCGCTGTCATGCTGCGCGAGCCGGTGCCACCTATGCAATATTGCTTTTCTCTTTTACGTTGCTCCAATCAAGTCGTACGTCAATTGGCGTTCATCGAGGAAAATTGAAATGGTTAACTTTCGGTGAAAAAGTCCTTTCGAATGAAAAGGCTCAGTCGAATTCCGAAGGTAATTGGACTCGCTTAAAATGCAATTGAGAAGTAACGAAATCTATTGGTTTGTACTTGAGTTGCTTTGCAATTACTACCTTTCTACTGTTCAGCACGCGAATAAGAGAATAAGATCCAACTCCAGTATGGATCAATACAGCAATTGAATTGTTCTCGGAAGAATTGTCAAAGATTAGTTAACTCAAAAGTGAGAAGTACCTGCGCCACTGCCAATCGTCGAGGCATGCTGGCTGGCAACCTCAGCTTGATTGTGCACTGATTCGTTAGAGTCCGACGACAGTGTGCCGAGTGTTGAGCCAAGCCTCTTCAAACTGTTCGCTCGTCTGACGATCGTGGCCACAGTTCGACAATACAACGCTTTTGCCAGCGAATCTCTCGTCATATTCGACTGTCGGCGAATAAATCATCTTATTTCCAACTGACAGCTGAGATTTACTTGCAAAAGTACTGACCATGTTGGCATCGCAGACAGATCTCACGAGCTGACCTCTAGCATTGTGCGTCCTCGAGGTGAGACCCCGCAGTAATGCAGACTTTGTGACACCGAGCAGCGCCGCAACAGAAGCGAGCTCATTATCACCGTTGACACTCACTTCAACGGTCAGGCCGTCGGCAAAGTTGACATTGCCGAGAATCAGTACAGCTGCCAGCACGCGTACTACATCGAGAAATGGGATACCCAGGACACCTGCGATTCGCAAAACGCACATCGCCGTCAAGTGCACATCTGCCGCAAGATGGAAAAATTGAAAAAAGCTGTACCTAAGCAAGCCTTCCAGGCTTGAAACCTCATCGCATCCTCCGCCTCGTCCTGCCTCGTATCCCCGTACTGCAGGTACTTCAAGTTCTTCACGTTGTATCCTTCGAGATTCAGCCTTACTCTCTCCTCGTGCGACAGACCGGCGAGCATCTGATAAAAAATGTGATAATTTTTCTCATTTGGTAATGGTCGAATGACTCTCGTCTGGTCCAAAAAATAACAGTGGATTTTGGTTCTGTACAACGCGCCGTCCGTCACTTGTACCTCGATAAAGTGACCCTGATTTGGACAAATAGAAAAAATTCAGTCATTGCTTTCATTGTCGCTCTTGAAAATATTCTTTACTTACGATTCTCGAGCTCTCCGAGTTGGTGGCAGTTTTAGCAGAGCCAAGCGACCGTAGCACAGTGAACGCCGCGGCAAGGTGTTTGAAGGCATCGGTTTCAGGCCCACCACCGGCGACGTCGAATAACTGACGCAGTAGTAACATTGACGCGTATGTCTTGCCGCTACCGCTCGTCCCTGTTTCAATTAAAACATCGTATGAAATGCATCCGAAATATTTGCTTTTCTGCATCGTTAATAAAACGATGCACGAGATTGCGCTTTAGTAAGTAGTCGGATAAATTATTCATGCATTTGTGTGCTCCATAACGTGCATCGTAAGGGATTGATTGTCAGCAAAATAATATTGATATCCGTTAAATTGTTTAAACTGAGAATGGCGCTGCTTCATTCCCGGAAATATAATTTCCGCAGTAAATATTGGAATTCTATTTTATTGATCCTGCACGGGAAATGGAATTCAACGGCAAAAAATTTTATTGGATTTTTCCTATCGTACTTTCATCAAAATTAAATAGCTTTAAAAAATGACAGTTTTTCAAAGCTCAAAATACAATTCTATAATATAATTCTCGAAGCAGAAAAATAACAATAAAAGTGTAGTCGCGATGAGACTCACCAGAAAGTATAATAGCCTGGGGATATCCAGTCTCGGATTGTTGCCTCACCGCCTCCTGTACAACCCTATTAAGATGAGACGTAAGCGGCATAGCCCTCGTGCTGGTCAAGGTAAGCGGGTTTCCCACATTCGTGTAGGGGTTCAGGCATACCAATATCGAACCAACGTTCGTCTGTAAAAACATAGAAAAAATTACATTACTTATCCGTGCCATTCACACGAGAGTGAATCACGATAAAGTTGCACGCGCGACACCTGAGGCACGTAACAGGTGTATGTGTCTGTGTGTGTGTGTATGCACGCGCGGGTGCGCACCAGTGTACGTGTGTTCTCAAATTCTCGTCCGTGGATCGTTGAAGCGACTCCGCCTCGTTTCGAAAGAGAGAGAGAGAGAGAGAGAGAGAGAGAGAGAGAGAGAGAGAGAGAGAGAATAAAACGAAGAGTATTATTTTCACGGGACAGGCTCCATTGTATATCTTTACGAGCTCTTGCAAGATCAAAGACCAGCTTGCCGTTTTACGCTGTAAACAAGCTCCAAGTGAAAGCCACCTTCGAATAAAAGAACGAGATATGAAAGGGAAATCGTCTAAGGTATATAAAATAGCGGATTTGTTTAGAAAATTTTGTTTTGCATCTAAGCAAGCAGGTAATAGTTTGCATTAACGCGCGTTATGGCTCCTCTTGAGATGCTGACGCTATCTTGCCTCCCCCCCCCCCCCCCCCACCCGATTCTCTAGTTGGATCCTGCTTGGGGCTTGTCCTGTGCGATGAAATCTTTAGTTGTTTGAAAAAAGCTATGTAAAAAACGATCTTTTCGAAAATCTCACTAACGAGCAGTCAACATTAAATGCCAATAATTTTCGAAAAATTTTAAATACATCTGCAAGTTTCAACATAGCGAATCATTCAGCATGGAAGCCCCCAGCATGTCGTATATCTCCCGCACACAGAGAGCGCAGAAAAGCACAGCACACCGGTTCAGCCCACGGAGCATCGCTTTGCTCCGATTGCATTCCACTGTGGGAGGAGAAAAAGGATGAGCAGGAAGGCAGAGAAGAGAGAAAACGAGCGAGAACGCGATGCTATGGGACGCGAGCGCGCGCGGTCACCAAAAAGATGAAGCCGGCCGGACAAGAGAGATGCATGGAAAGTAAACAGTGTGCCGAGGAGAATGGGTTTCACCGCCGGGTCAGATGAATAGATAGCTTATTTTTTGCCATGGGATATCGATTATTTACCTTTGGAGGATATATTTTAAAAGCTATTTTGATGGAAGGATTCGGTGATAGTTTTTAGATGAAAATTTTCATGTTAATATGAATTGACAATTTGGACTTTATAATTATTTAGATTGCACAGCAAAGCAGTCAGGCAATAAAGGCAATAACCAACTGCTGGAAGGCCTGTAATAAAAATAGTCGAACTCTAAAAATACCAACTTGTAAAGCGGCTCTCTTTTTGACTCTATAGAGAAATATTAGGACCGCGGATATAAAGCTTCGATTGACGTGCAATATCTCTCCAAATGAAAATAATTGCCAACAACTCACGTGATACTGATTGGTGCAAAATCGAGCTTGCAAGCACTTGAGCACAGCATCTTCCGTAAACGGTCCAGGCAAGTGAATCAAGTCCTCCAAAGTGGTAGTATTGACAGTGCCGGGAATCGGTGGCAAAGGTGCAGCTTTAGCCAGCATCGTTGGTATTCCATTTCTTAGCTGTTGACTGTGCTGCTGCTGCTGCTGCTGCTGTTGCTGCTGCTGCTGCTGTGACTGTTTCTTAATGTCGGCGATGACAGCCGGTTGTCGCACGCTACCCAGTGCCGTTACGCACGAGACTATGTTGTCGTCGGGTAGACTACGGTGACGTTTCGCTGGCTCCAGATCTGCGTGACAAAATGACATTTTTCTATTATAAAGGTTGTGGCAATCTTGGATTCTTGAGCTGATTTATCGATGAAAGCAGCACTCCGTAATCTATCACGTTTGTTTTGTCGTAGAAAATGTCACGAGAAAAAAAAAGAATGCTGCCGGATCAGTGATCGTTTGGCTCAAGGCGCTTATCTCGCCAAGCTAATCTAACGACTAAATAAATTATGCATGAGCTTATCGTATCGAATATGTTTTCTTATAAATGACGGATAAAAAGATAAATGTGTTGCAGGCGGAATCCCCACACAGTATTGTCATAGGGCTTGTTCGAGCTACGGATATATTAGCTTATAAAACTAATATATTGGAATAAAAGTAAGAAGCTAGCAACAGTTAACAGTACTTAATTCTCATTCGTATAAGTGTACTAAATGACTTGTCATCTGCCTAAGCTTCTTTCCAGTGGACTCACCAGCCATGAGGTGACTACTGGACCCATTAATCGCGCTGTTAGCTACAGGATGTTGCTGTTGATGCACAAGAGCCGAGGCAGTGAGAGTGTGCGCAGCCGCTGAAGAAGAAGCCGTGGAAGATGCGTGCTGTGGTGGCAGAGTGGTGCGCGGAGGGACGGCAGGTGCCGTCGGCGATTTCTCGTATTTCACGTTACTGTTGCCAGCACTTGGCGCTGGCGATGACGATGACGACTGCTGTTGCGGCTGTTGGCCGACGTGCAACCTATTGCGTAGCGTCACCAGCTCGGTGCTCAGGCTGCGAAGACGCTGCTGCAGATGTACCGCCTCGTTCGACGACGACGCATCTGCAACGAATACACTCGTCAGTCACGAATTGCAGTCTAATCAATGCAGTGTATCAAATAATAGACTTTTAACAACTGATCTCAATCGAACAAAAGAAACTCATTTGGAAATGACAATCTCCGCCAGCGGAAGTGAGAGAGAAGAAAAAACAGAGAGAACCTAGCTGGCCGAGTAAATAAATGAAAATTTATACGAGCCGTAGAAAAAGCTTTTTCTCTCTCTCTCTCTCTCTCTCTCTCTCTCTCTCTCTCTCTCTCTCTCTCTCTCTCTCTCTCTCTCTCTCTCTCTCTCTCTCTCTCTCTGTCAGTCTTTCTCCGTCAGTCCTTGTAGTAAGAGCCGTTTTCAAGGATCTCTCTCTCTCTCTCTCTCTAGGCTTCTCCCTCTTTCTTTGAGGATTGTATCTCGGATTAACGGGATCCAAAAGACGCCAAACAGCACAGTGCATCGGTTGGCTCGCTCGCTCACGCTTGGGATTGATGAAAAAAGAGCCGAGTCAGAGTTTCGAATTGCAAAATCCTTCGAGATTAGCCGGAGGGAAAACTCTTGCGGACTCGGACGAATTTACGAGGAGGGCTTTTTCTCCGTTCATCTACTTATGCGAGCAATGTTCGTTTCGTTTCTCGCACTAATGAATATTGCGCTTTATCTGATTGGAGTGCAGCCTGATCTTGTTGTAGGCAAGGAAAAGCGTATAATGGCAAATGAGCTGCGAGTTTGACGTGCTAAGCAATCATATCGAAACCTTTTAAATGACGCACAGAGCCCTAATAAAAATTACCGTTTGTCTGCTTCACTTGAACGAAGGGAAAACTTTGTTCAATGGATAGACTGACGGAAAGGCAAGACAAGCGATTACGTATCCGCATCCCGATAAACAATGCCGACCCAGACAACTACACTTTCGTTCTTTGAAACATCCATAAACATGGGCATCTCATCTATACACATGCAGATATCACACTCAATATGCAGCTCACAACCGCGAGTGTCGGCGCTAGCATTATAATTGAACGTAAATCTGGGCTATTCGAGTGGCGAGATTACTTAGGTTCTGTATACACGCGCGTGATGGCATCGCGCAGATACAGCCTCGATATAGAGTCTCGAAAGGCCTCGAGGGCGTTTCCCACGATTTCCGTAGCTAGCACGTGCCTCAAGCCGCTGATTAGAAACAATAGTCGCACGCTTGTGTGCTTTCTTGTGATAAAAACATACTCGTACTCTCTATTTCGCTCAAGATGTCGAAGCCTATTTGGATCGCTGCGAAAAAGAAAAAAAGGAGAGAGAAGAGAAGAGGAGAAAAGCAGAAGGGGAAGAGAGAATAAAGAAAAAAAGGAAGGAAGAGGAAAGAGAGAGATACACTAGATCGCGTGTTGAGCGACTTTCCAGAAAATTGGCTTGCCGTCGCTTATCCGTAGCGGGCAGCCCGATAATAAAATTCCACCCTGAAATCAGATCGTTTTACTGCTTGACATTCGTACAACAGTTGATTACATTGTCCATTATTCGCGGCGTCGGTCGCACAACCTTCCTGAGCCTTATTGACGAGTTCAGTGCCAATTGAGTTGTGCGAGTAGCGTCTTCGAAGTTGCGCGATTACGGATGGCGAATTTCAAAGAAATACCTGAAAAACAAGACTAGACTGCACTCACGGAAGCACATCAAAACAATACACACGAGCGATAATCATCGGACATAAGAAAACAGAAGGCTCGGTAGTAGTAGTAGTAGCAGCAGCAGCAGCAGCAGCAGCAGCAGCAGCCAGCAATCATACGCGCAAGAATGTTGCTGTCGCTAACGCTGAACAGGTTCTCTTGTAGGGGGCTGCTGCAAGTCTCACACGCGGGTGGCTGGGGCAGGTAGACCAAACTGGTTTTTTACCTCTCCGTGTGCAGGCGTCCGCCTGTGCGTGTGTTTGTAGTCTTGCGCACGCGCGCACACCTACATCGGCAGCAGTTTCTCTTTTGTTCGTTCCGTTGCCGAGAGTGAGAAATTATTTTGGAGAGGCAGCCACTGTAAGGATGCCGCCGATCAGGTGCATTTGTCATCGCTTAAGTGTTGCCGTTTTCTTTATGGCAATTAACAGACTTTCGAGGAAATTAAATAATATCGCCACGGACGTGTACGTACTGTGAGATTAGCTCCAATAAGTAACTGATTGATTCGTCAATTTCTGAAAAATTGACGCGACAAGCAGAATTTATCTTCTAAAAAATCAATTTCGATTTGTGTGAAAGCTCCATCCATCGTTCAAATGTGCAGTGCACTAAACCAGAGCTATTCAATTTTTTATGGATGACATTGATTGGAATCGTAGTATTTCGAAAATTACACTAGAAAATGATCAATTTATCGAATTGACTGAAATGCTATGTTTGACAATGTAATATTCGGTAGCTTAAAAAGTGAGAAAGCGTAAAGCGCGCATATTAATGTGGATCGCTGGAAAAGCGAGCTTATGCGAAAATAAAAATGTAGTTGGCCGATAGCCTGGTAAATCCGGCAATACGCTCGATCTGAAAGCTAACGAGTGAGGTCTCGCCGTGGCGTACGTATACACGTCGAAACAACAATCGTCGAGAAAGCGAGCTGGTCTATAGGCTTAGCAGCGTGCAAAGTACACTCGAGTTCAATGATCTCCTGGTCGGCGCCGTTCGCTTCGATACATACTTAAGCCTATATCGATTGGGATGAAGCAATCGCGTGGCTGCAGCTGAGCTCTCGACACCTGTAAAGTCGCGCGCGCGCGCGCGCGCGAAAAACAGGTGTTGGCGTTGCGAATTTCCGTGTGCTCAGCGATGTGATCCTTAAGCGAAGAGCCCGACGGCGAGCACGGCGGCTCGTGTGCGACGGAACAATCGGCAGGATGTGGTTCTTCTCACGGCAATCGTTTAATCGTTCGAGTGCCGCGAGGACACGCGATCATAGCGTGTAAAACACAAAAGGGACGACCTTAGGGGCGATCCCTTATCTTGCATTCGTTCCCCTTTCTTCGTCTGTGGCTCGAGGTTCGTTTTCTTTCGCTCGGCATTCCGACGTTCGGCAAGCTAGCCGAGAGCCGTGAAATCGCGCGCCAACCGATCGCCGTTAGTGGCATCTTCGATGTATATAATCTCTTGGCTCGGCGTACGTATCAACATAAGACGCTAATCTGGATATTACGAATTCATTAGCCGTTGCGAGGAAGCCAAGTCGACCCACGCTTCGGGCTCAATAATCTGGCAATATTAATGAAGCCGAAACACGCCAGGCGTACACAGACGCACGCAGCTCGATAAATCAAAGCTCAGACGCTAATATCCTCGGCGGAGTTTTATTAATAATAACCGAGACGCAAAGATAATTAACGAATGGCAAGCAGTCCCGTGGCTTCTACGCGTCGAACGGTCGCCTCTGACGATTCGCAGAAAGCACGCCCTGCTACACGCGTCTGTCGTATAATTACTCCTCGGAAGTGATTCACGCGCGGCAATTCAAAAGTAGAGCTCGCGCTCGCCTAAATTCTCTCTGGCTACAGGCGCCCGTGTGCGCAAACGGAGGGATCTGCATTACGAGCGCATGAATATGCTAATCCGTTGAGACGCCGTTCGCTCCCTGTAATTTTTCTTCGATAGGCTTCGCCGAGAAGGATGCTTAGCCGTGTGGCTAAGACGCACAGCTGCTCTACAGACGCCGCAATTGCTAAGTTTGCGTGCTTTGTCCAAACCAGCGACGACCTTGCAAATTCCAAATCTTTAAGTAGCCGGAACATTAGTCCATCGCTGCGGCAAAATTCGAAACGGACATCGAAATAAGGAGAGCAGCGCGCATGGGAGGAAATAGCCTGGAAAAAAAGTGGCGAGTTTCGGGCAATTTAATCTAAATTCCATATTCCTCTCTTTCATATTCTTTCGCCTATTCCCCGAGAGCTGTTGCGCGCGAGTCCCGTTTTCTCGTATTCGTCGTCGTCCTCCTCGCTACGCGCACATACAAGAGCAACAGTACTGCACATGCGGCTCGTAAGTTGCGGTCTAGACGAAAAATTCACAATTTCCCTTGGTCGCATGCTGTACCACATGCGCAACATGCCAGATCGTTCGAACAAGCCAGTGGACTCGCCGAAGGAATCGCCAAAGGCCAATAATCAATTGGCGAGCGTCAATATTTTAAAAGTTCGTCAATACTTCTAGAATAAAAGTGAGCAAGATTCAATATCTCATCGACTACAATAATCTGAAAATCCGTCTATTGGTTAAGAGCTGTTTCGCTTCTACGTCTCGAAGAAGAAGGCCATTGCCCCGTTGCACACTACGTATATAGAAATTCGACGGCTATGTGTGTGTGTATGTGTGTGAGTACTCGTGTACCCGCTCACCTCCGTAGAGAGAAAGAGAGAGAGAGAGAGAGAGAGATGCTGCCAGCAAGCTCGTCGTACATAAGTTAGCCCCTTTCACGCTCAGGACTTGTGCATTGTTGTTGACGTCTGGCCCGCGTTGCCGCTTGTCTCTAGCTTTACGCCAATTTTCAGCGACGACGTAGCAATGCTCATTTTTGGCAAGGAATAACTTGACGATGGACGGCTAATCAGTTTTTCGAAGGAAAAGGCACCAGTTTTCAATAGAATCGACAAGCCATTACGCGAGCACCAAAAAGATCGAGCAGGCACAGCATGGCAGCACAGCAACGCCGAGGAATCTCTCTGTCCCTGACCGCACGCGTCGAGTGCCTGAGAATGGCCGCGGCTCTCTCGTATACCTGGGCAAGATGTATGCGCGCGGCGCCGAGTAGTTCTGTTTTCTACGGGGGGCCGCTTTTTTTATCATTCTCGATCCTATCGAATTCGATCGCTGCGTAGAAATAGCCGCGCGGTCGGGCTGTAATTTGGAGTGCGTCAGCCGCCTGTAACGCTACTGTCATTCTTCGGAGCAGCTAGATGCGGCATTTACAGATCGTCGATCTGCTTTGACTTGTCAACGCTGCACATTTGGCACGCTTGCGATTGATTAAGCAACTGCTAGTTAAAAAAAGGCTGCTAAAAAACAAAGTACGCAAAGTTAAATAAAGCTGCTTTATACGCCTCAAGCTGACTAAACCGTCTCGCGAGCTTTTACTTTATAGCCCGTGCTATTGCCTCGTTTGGTACGTCTGCAGCGGCAGCAGATCTTTCTCTGATAATTATATAATGTTCAACGACAACATCGGGAAAGAAGAAAAGCATTGGATGTTTTACATTCGACGCCCATCCAAACATTTTTTCAACGATGTTTTCTTTCCTTTAGTCCCATTCACATGAATTTTTAATTGAATTACCCTCGCAAGCGAACCTTTAAACTTATGCAGCTTTGCCACAAATTTACCTAACTGTTCTTGCTTAAATTAAGTTGCAATAATTCGTCAAGTTTTCATTTGTTAATCCAAGTATGGATGGATTCCACGGATGATTAATTCGTCAACGTAGAATACAAATCATAATAACGAAGTCGCGTAGCGAATATTATTCGCAGTAATGCCAGAGTAATAAAGCGCGAGTGGTTATTGAATTTTAATACACGGACGTTTATCGTCGCGCGTAAATCTATAACGTAAATCAAATATATTTATCGTCGAATTTAATAAAAAAGAGGCCGAGGCTTTCCCAGTATCAATAACTCGGGGCAGTTGATCGCCCGAATCAAATGGCGCCTCATCAAAGAACTTTGCGCCGCGTAATAACAGCCTTGTGAAAGTGTTTACTCGACTTGGACGCCGCTGGACCTGAGAAAAGTATCTAAAACTCGAGCTTGCGCTCCTCAAAGTTGTTCTCGCGATGCTTTACAAGATTCTCGATTTTAGCGCCACGAGGCGATAAAGCTCAAAGCACTTCGATAAATCGACTACGTGCTCCGGGTAGATTAAATATTTTAAGGCCTATAGACTGTTTTTTCTTGCCCGTAAAAAAGAAGTAGCAATTATTTTCTATTTCCACCCCAACACCCTCCCGTTCGTTGTACGGAGTTTCGACAGTCGCGAGATTTATGTAACAACAAGTTTTCATTCGACTGCGCGTCTCGTGGACCGATTTCCAAGAGGTTTTTAAGCCAAAACAAAGAAAGAGCGAAAGAAAGATTTAAGGAAGCAAATCAAGTGTGACTTGTTCTTAATCGTGCAGAGAGACAGAAGGAAAAGCCATCGAAGCACTTGTCGAATTAGAAGATTATCCGAAGCATGATTGACCGAAGTGGATCAGCAGTACGCGTCGACCGGAGCGAGAGATGAACGGCTGCGAGCGACGCTTATCTATGAAACATTTGATGGATGGTCAAGGCGCGCAGAAATTGATTAGGCAGAGCAAAGTGGCACACCAACTGGCTGTTCCATATAATGCCGGATGGCAGGCCGGTGCTGTTGATCGGCGCCGAAAAATCCTCGCAAAAACGGCAAAAAGGCGGCGTGCCTCGATATCTTCGGAGAAGATAAATCGGCAAAACAGTTTTTCCAACGAGTCATCAATCACGCGACAAAGGACGCGGCTTTAGACTCGTTTTGCGCGCGCGGAATTCATCCCAGCCGCAATAGCTCGGCTTGCCTTCTACGCGAGAGGGCGCGCACCTTTTGTGGGCGAATAACTTTGAACGCCGATCCCAAGGATTCCGCCAAATTTGCTGGCTGCCTCGCGTATAATTCGATTTTGCGCGCCCGCGCGTCTGCGCGAGCTAGCGAGGCGTCCTGCTTTGCGTGCCCTGCATCTCGCGAGTTTAGTATGCAATTTTAGCGCGCATCCTTTTTGGATCTGTTTACCTGCCGAGATTGATTGGTTTGCGCGCGGGCGCATCGTCTTGCCTATCACTATTTTGGCTTTCCATGCGATCTCATAGCCAACGAATATTATGAATTTAAAGTAGATAAAGCAGTTTGTAGTTGAAAAAAAGAATGCTGCCGGAATAGCTGTCCAATGAAAAATCAGTAGCACGCTTGACGCGTCTACGCAAAAACATTTAAAACTCTAGTACTGGTTTTTTTATTTTTCGCGTATGCAGAAACGCAGAAACAACAAGAATTGAAAAATAACCTCCTTTCATCTACTTTTTTACAATTCCCCGTACCTGCTCTCTCTCTCTCTCTCTCTCTCTCTCTCTCTCTCTCTCTCTCTCTCTTTCTGTCTAGCAGCGTTCCTATACATTTAGCATGAAATGAAACTTTCTACAACAAAAAACCGTAAGCCTGTATTCCATCAGCAAGGATCTAGAAAAAAGGCGAAGATACAGAGGAGTTGAAAAGCAAACGTAGACTGTGTGTGGAAAGGAAAAACAAGAGCGAAACAAGCAAGCCTGGAGTAAGAGGTAACGATGCACAGAAATACGGAAGGTAAAAGGCTTAACGACGATTTCACGGATCGATTTCAGCGGCAAAGTATAATATCCCTCGCCCTACTGTTTTTCACGTTACTGCTCTTCTGCGCGTCGCTTTTTTTCAGAGCTCGCCAGTTTTGCTTCTGGAAAAGCCAACGGCATTACGTGCAGGATTTGTTTGCTCGGTTCATTCGAGGTCGAGATAAGGATCTGCGCGTACGTACCGATTTGTCGATCTCTGCCTTACCCACTCGGTGTCTTATTTTTTTGTGAATATTGCTCCATACGGTACTCGTTGGAGCATAACTTGGTCGCAATAGCGCAAAAACTCGCATCTCGCTGCATTCCTCGTACGGGCGAAACGCAGCGCGTATGCACTTGCCTCGCGGACGCGCGTCACCTGCTCGAAAAGCCATCACACTTGCAGCCTCGGTCGATCAACAGAACTATAAATAATCGCACTCAGCGAGATCCGTCTGGCATGAAGAAGAAAAAGAGGAAGAGAAATAAGAAGAAGAAGAAGCAGAAGCAGAAGAAGAAGAAGGAGAAGAAGAGGAGGAAGAGGGAGGACGAAAAGGAAACCTCCTTCGAATTCCAACGATGCCTCGAAAGGAGCCGCGCTCTCTCTCTCTCTCTCTCTCTCTCTCTCTGCTGGGCAGGTAGTAAAACCTGCCTGACGGCCAGAGAAAGAAGAGTACAGTCGGCGAGTCTGGACAGGTTAGGCGTACCTTGCAGCTTCTTCTCGGTCTCCCAGAACTTTTGCAGCTCGGTGAAGTACTTGTCCAAGATGAAGACCTTGGAGAGGCCCAAGGTGGCCATATCTCCGAGCTGCTCTCGATCTTCAGCGCTGATCGCACTCGCGCATGGTTCTCGCAACTCCTGCGCTTCGACTGCTACAGCTCACTCGCATAATCGACTACGGCACGTGTATGTTCGATAGCCCTCGTTGTCGAGCGCGAGAGGCAGCGAGAGAGGCGCGAGGGGCACGCTAGACCGCACTCAACTGGGCGTCATTGTCGGGCCCGGCGGCGAGCGGGGCCTCGCGTCCGTATGCGTGCGTGTGTCCCTCGATGGCGGCGCGGAGGGAGGGGGGGGGCGACGGCGCGGGGGAGGGAGACATTCTCAGCGGATGCTGCACGAAAATTCTCTCTCTCCGTCCTCGTTGCACCCTACCTGCGCGCGCTAGCTCTTTAAACTCCTCTCTGGCGACAACTAGCTATTTACCGTATATGTGCAAAGTGCACGTTACTCCACTTGCTTTCCTCAGGCTTGCCGCTATCAAGTTTTTCTCCCGGTTCACATTCACTTCTCATTCAAATGCCTCGCTAAAGTCTGATCTTCGCGCGTGTGTTTTGTCCTGGTTTATCTGTTTATCTCTCGACTACCTACTTCTCACCAATTATTATTAATATTGACAGTTTGAAAAATGTAGCAACGATGAGGAGTAGGAAGGAGAAATGTTTAAACAATGCCTCGGGAAGCACTTGAGAACGGAATGAGTCCGCCCTGAAGATCAGCGCCTCCAACAAAAGACCTTTTCCCTTCCCGAAATCTTGGAGAATTAGCATGGAAAGATCCGGTACGCGATGCAGGTATACAAAAGCGGCCTGACCTTTTTCGAGTAAGAAAGATGCTTCTGCAAGGCGCCACGTGTAAAGGCTGCTGCGTGCGATTGTCATTGACGAGCGCTGCATCCAACGTGGCCTGGTCTACATGCATCAGTTATATAAACCATACTCGGTCCTTCCATTTGTCCATTAAGCCAAGGCGGCGGAGAAAGCCTTTGAGGCTCCCCTCTCCGTCCACGTTTTCCCATTATCCCTCAGGATTTTTCCTCCGCGGACTGTCTTTGAATTTTTAAGGCGGGCTCTCTGTCTCGGTATCTTTATGTAGAAGGATTTCAATTTTGTCTTCATCGCTCGCGGACGTTTTCCCAAGCACACTCGAGGCTCGCAGGCCAAGTTATTTCTAGAAAGAAGGAAGAATTGGGAAGACGATTTGACGTCAGGCGTCTAATAAGCTTCAACAAACGAGAAACTCGCCAAGCTTTCTCTGGCAAGTGTGAAAATAGAAGCGACATCGTTGCGTAATTGGCGTAAACAAACCGCGAAATATGCCAGACAAGAGTTGTTGGAGAATCGCTAGTGCACTCGCGCGAGTTCGACCTTTCTCCGTGGGCGGCTCTACTCTGTATGCCAGAGGGAAAAATAGAAAGATGAGAGAGAAGAACCGGTTCTCTCTCTCTCTCTCTCTCGCTCTCTTGCTTAATGCGGAAAGGCCCTGAGGGCATACAGGCCGACGCTCTCTCGCTCGCGTGTGTTGTATGTACCTGTGCGCCGTAATTCGAAACTCTAAACGCCTGTGGGATATTCTCCCTCCTTGCTTTGCCGCAGATGCGAGCGAGACTACATTTTTTGGAGGTACTCGGTTAGGTGAAGGTGTAATGGGATCATTTTTTTTTGTCCTCGTTCTTGATGGCAATGGGAAGGTCAGTGGATTCGAAAGTGTTATATTTTGATATTCGAGGGCAATTCGAGGCATAATAACTTTCTTAATTGGAAGATTCCGTATCAAATAAGGAATATTGGCGCGCTGATAACAGTAAAACGTCTTTTCTACCCGGCAAGAAATGCTACGACAAGAGATGCGGGTAAGGCAGCGAGTTACTTTCGGTGCAACGGTAGCTCTATCTGTAAGGAGAACGGCCAAGCCGCTAACCTGTGTTACCTGTTGAAGAACTCTGGGACTTGAGGCCCTACAAAGATTACCCACGCGCTTCTATCCAACTTTATTATCGGCCGTCGAGAAGGTCGTTCGCGTCGTCGATTTGTCGTATTTACATTTTGTCTAAACTACGATTATTTGAAAATCGTCCTCTTTTCGTGTGCATCTATTGATTCTACGCTCAGATTGTTTCTTTAATATCGAAAAAGACGAAATTTCGTACGCAATTTTCTCGAACGATTAATAGTTACCGAGACTATCTTCGTAAAGAAAAATAAGAAAAATTTGGTGGAGAAGATACAAGCGAAAAAACGAATATATGATCAGGAATAAGTTTGTACAATACCGCCAGGTGGAACACAACCAAAATATTTACGGTCAATGCGATAAATTGGACAGTTGCACAAGTTTCGTATAATAGTTGCTCGCAATAAAATGTTGCAGTAAAACGCTGACTTGATTAGATGTGACTACACTGTCTGAAAAATAAGATTCGAAGAAATAGCGCAAAGCGAGCGCAACTGGCCTGTCTCTTAAATAAGCCAAATCAGCCAGCCCGAATGCACGTAGCCGTGGCTTTGGTGATTCGCCTTGAAATTCGGCCGAATCTCGAGAAGCCATCGCACGACACGGACAGAGAGAAGACGAAGGAGAAAAGAAAGGTAAAAATGTGGGTCTTGTTATTCGGATTGGAGAACTCGTTTGGACGCGCATAAAGCGCAGTTGACATGTCAGTGACTGATGGATCCCTTATTTCGTAGGCGGCCAAAGGGGGAGAGAGAAAGGCGAGCTTTCCATTGGGTAGAGCGGCCGAACGATCGAAAGAAGCATCGCGAACGAATGCGCGCGCGGGATCTAACCAACTTCCAAATCGTAATATAAATCAGCGGCTGCGCGTCTCCCGCACGTGTGTAATATTCTCTCTCGAGCGCATAAATCGCGCGTAAGAGGAATCGCATCCGGATTCCAGGAACGAGAAGGCGGGGGGAGAGAAGGTATCTATGTATGCTCGCGATCTTTTTCGCCGGGGAAGAGAGATGCTGCGCACCGCGGCCCTTTTCCGCAGAGAGAGAGAGAGAGAGAGAAAGAGAGAGAGAGAGAGAGAGAGAGAGGGAGAGAGAGGCACTTGTTGCTGCTGCGAGCGCGCGACCTGATCGGCTACTGATTCTGTATGCTGCGTGTTTTGCAAGCTCGTTGGTATGCGTATGCTGCGAGTCTTGAGTTTTCGATCGAGCCACTGTGTATGCCTTCTTTTACCAAGTCTCGGCTTTTCTATCTCTCCGACCTTTCTTTTTCTCTTTCTCTTCTGTTGGGACTGGCGTGTAGGCATTGCAACTCTCCGCTTTGAATTGTCGATACTAGATGGATGGCAGCCTACTTGCGCCAGCGCCATCGGAACAATCTATTCAATCTATTGATTCTTTCGAGCCGGTCGCTGTTCTTGTCGCGCGAACGAGCGTTTGCTGGGACGCTCGGTGAAGGGCCTCCCACGCCCTTCGGAAACCCTCAGAGCCCCTTTCTCCCCCAAAGAGGAGAGCACGCAAAGTCAAACAGAGGTTGTCTGCGTTGTTCTGGGAAAAGAAAGCTTGGCACAAGTATTGGTCGCGTTGACGTAGGCGCACACATCGCCTGGGCATTAAGGGCCACTGCATGCTTCCTCGCTCTCTCTCTCTCTCTCTCTCTCTCTTCGGTGCGGATATAAATCACACGAGCACTAACACGTTAGTGTTAGCGTCTCTTTCTTCGATTTATTTCGCACCGCCGCGAAGCTCGTTACAGTCTATAAATACCGTTTTAGCTGGTTGCGCGAGATGGGCATTAAAGCTTTTACAAGGCCAAATTTATGTACTACGGAAATGCTACCGGCACAGTATTATGCCTCCTTAGAAAAGGGTATTATTGTTGCGATAGTAAATAGGTGTGCGGCTTGACGGACGCTGGCGCTGTAGTTGGGCTTGTTCTGGCCTGTGCTACTGCTGCACTACTGCGGCAGCTGATTGGGGATTTGCGCTAGGCGCTCGGGCGCTCTGCTGGAGTCCGAGGCAGCACTCTAACGGGTCGGGTATTTTAGGTTTCCGTGCTGATTTACGGCTGATCAGCAAGTGCATCATTGTTTTTGGTCTGGGGCTTAAGAGACTCTCGACTCGACGCAAACTGTTTTTAAGCTGAGTATTGTCGCGAACACTGCACCAGCCGTTTTTCATCCCCAAGTAAAATAGCCGCGAGCTTGCTCACGATACGGCGGGAAGAAGCCGGCGCGACATTGCACGATGCAGTCATCCTCGAATTGAGTGGCAAGTCGCGCGTGCGAGCAAATCCGCGGTGGCGGCTCCGCGCTCGGGTCCGCGACCGGATAATTAAAGCGTCGCGTGGCGCGCCGAGCGACAAAAGAGACCAAAGCGACCAAAGCGACCAAAGCGACCAAAGCCAGCGAGCCGCGGCACTCGCGGGCTCTGGGACAGCGCCGCATAATAAATAAGCAACGAGAAAAACAAGAGCGAAAGGGCGGAAGTGAATTTCAGACGGGTAGTGCGAGCAAATGACACGGCACGCGTCAAAGCTGCGGATCCAAATGAGTACGACGAGGCAGTCTTGTTTGACGCTTGCACCGGCCTCTGGCAATTAGGACGCGACAAAAACCACTGCCCTGGGCCTTTCGTGCGTTTTATTTATCGCGAGATTTCGCAGTGACTGATCGTTTTGTTGCTTCGCGGCAAGCCAGCTTTTGATTTACGATGTGGAAAATGCTTTTCTGCTCTTTTCCGTTGTGCGCGCTCAATCTTCTTGCATAAATGTACAGAGACGCGATGCAACGAAAGTAAATAAAGGAGCCCTAGATCGATAATTCATTATCGCCCTCGTCAAACTTGATTATCGCAAGTTCTTCCATAAAAGCTCTCTCAATAAGACTCGTAAACGCCTAAGCACGCTTCTCCGACTAGAAAATCATTAGAGCTCTTTCTCTCGCGCAAGCGACATTTAATTAAATTCCCGACGTTCTCAACTACTTTGCCTCCCCTTTTTCTTTCTATTTTCCGCTGCCGCCGCTCGCCTGCTTCTTTTTTATCGCCTCTCGACACACACGCGTGGCTGCG